GAGAATCTGTGGAAAGAACTGAAAACTGCTGTTCACAAATGCTCTCCATCCAACCTCACTGAGCTCGAGCTGTTTTGCAAGGAGGCATGGGCAAAAATTTCAGTCTCTCGATGTGCAAAACTGATAGAGACATACCCCAAGCGATTTACAGCTGTAATCGCAGCAAAAGGTGGCGCTACAACGTATTAACTTAAGGGGGTTGAATAATTTTGCACGCCCAATTTTTCAGTTTTTTATTTGTTAAAAAAGTTTGAAATATCCAATAAATTTCGTTCCACTTCATGATTGTGTCCCACTTGTTGTTGATTCTTCACAAAAAATTACAGTTTTATATCTTTATGTTTGAAGCCTGAAATGTGGCAAAAGGTCGCAAAGTTCAAGGGGGCCGAATACTTTCGCAAGGCACTGTACATGGTTTGTAGTTTGTGATCATGCCTTCATTTGGCGGTTGCTCTTTTCTATTACACAGTAACACAGATAGACCAGATGCCTCAGTAGTTCTGCTCCATGACTTCCAACGATTCCTCATGTACCAGCAACAGGTAAAAAATTTAGAGTGATTTGCTCCTGTTTTGTCAGTGTTCTGATACAAGAGTTAATCCTGAGATGTGTATGAAGGTGTTGCATTAATTCACTTTAGATGCTGTGCTGAGCTGCATGTCAGTAATGAGAACTGTGTCAACAGTTTTGAAAAGTGAATACTTTATGGAGAAATGTGTTTCAATTGTAAAATAAACTCGATTAAGATTTAAGTTGGGATTGAATGATACACCAGGATGTCTAGCATAAGATTTTAGCAGTGATTCGAGATACATAAATAAATATTTTTACAAATATACTATGGGCCAATTTTGTCAGAGTCTAGTTAGAGAAAGTTATTTGACATCTAGTTTTTGACATTAGTGATGTGGACATGGAAACAAATAATGTGCCCAGCTAGAGCATACAAAATACAGGGAAAATGAAATAAAACCCAGAATTTAATTATAGCCAGTAAAGAAATATGATTGAAAATCAGTTTAGGGTGGTGCCAGGACACCAAACTTCTGTGTCTCAAATAAGCTGATAAGAAAGTTATATTGTCATTATCATTTGGCTAATGGTTTACAGGTTTTTACAACTGCTCTCACACTTGTTCTGAAACTAGGTTTCATTCTTTCAAAACTCTACACACAAATCCAAAGGTTATGCACACAAAATGCTGAACGCTTTATATCTCCAGCAAAATGCATTTAAAATACCATAAACATCTCAATCAAGTGTTTGCATCAACTGGCAAGCACATTTTTCATAACAGCACATTTTTGGCTTCTCTATGTTCAAAACCCTCAAAGCTCCTCTGTCATTCAGAGGCTTATGGCCACAGCATCCAAGGATTTATTCAGAGATAGTTGTTATATCCTCACAGTAAAAATGGTTCTTTGTGTGGAAACATGTTTGTGTTGTCATTCGCAGTGAAGGAAAGTTACCTTGTGTGATTTTAGAAGGTGGACATAATTTCATTTATAGAGTAAATTTCTTTTTGCCAGTTTGAATTAAATAAAAGTATTATCTGAGCACAGACCAATATTTCAGAAGCAATTCAATCTCTTATTCAATGACTCAAATTTTATTACTGTAAGACTTATATATACTACCATTTGCTATAATTCTTTCTCTCTGTGTCTTCTCTTTGTGTCCTCACCCTCAGGAATCCTGGGCCAGTGATCTGAACCGGGTCAGAGAGCTGATGACTACCTTTATTGATGACACCATGAGAAAAACCAATGACCCCGAATTCACTGTCAGCGAGGTATTCTGCTCTTGCTCTATTGTGTGACAGAGACAAAATAGGCAAATATTATGACAGTTTTGTTTGAAAAATGAGACTTAAAGCTCTGTTGTTGTTGTTGTTATACTTGGAGTGTTATTGTTACTCCAATATCACACAAAGGACTCTGTTCATTTAATGCTAATTGTGAACCCTGTGCCTGCTTCTAGTTCCTCAGTTTCCTGTTTTCGAAGGAGAATTCTGTGTGGGATGAGAAGTTCTCAGAGATCAACAACCTGGACATGAACAATCCTCTGTCCCATTACTGGATCAGCTCCTCACACAACACGTCAGTATTGTGTATTAATGCTACAGTACATCACTTATGAACAATAGTGTGAACAATTTTAGGTTGTAACATTATAATAAAATCCCTTTCGCTGGTTTTTGTTCTCTTTTAGTGTGGTTTTTGTTCACTGATTGAAACTTTACCTTGTGTTGTGCTCAGTTGTAGCTGGTTCCACTGGTTAGCACAACAACTGACTGCTAATTTGAGCTTTGTAGGTGGGGTTATGAATGATGATGATGCCACCTTTCTATACAGCTGTCTATCAAGCTACATTTCTGAAAAATAACATATAAACATTTACAAAGGCATAACTGATGGATTATTGTGCAAATTACTACACAATTTGTCAATGACTTATCAACCTTGCAGCCTTATTAGAAAGTTAGAAAGCCACAACCTTTTGTTAAAGGGGAGCTCCACCAAATTTAAACAAAAATGTGTGGAAAGCTGTCATAGCTACTGAAAACTTGTTTCTTTATTAAAATTCATCTGTAAAGCATTCATCTATAAAGTATTTTATTTACTAAAAAGATGAAAGCCAGTAGTTACATAGTAAAAACGTATTAAATTATATCCTTCTAATTAACCAACAAGCGAACAGAACCAAAAGCATAACCTCCATACTCTAGGTACAAAACGTAAGTGGGAGTTCAATTTTATGAAATATATCTAATCTAGCATGCCTCCTGTTTTGTGTGTTGTTCCACAGATACCTGACAGGTGATCAGCTTCGTAGCGAGTCATCCACAGAGGCCTATGTGCGCTGCCTGCATCTGGGATGCCGCTGCGTAGAATGTCAGTATCAACCAGCTACACTTGGATCATGGATGTATTTTAATCATGTTTAGCAGACAGTGGCCATATTTTGGCTATTTTACCCCACACAAAGATCTCTAGCGCCGGATTTAAATACTTAAATACTACCTAAGTGAACAAGTTGCAGGTGTAAACACTGCTTGTAATTCAGTGGTTGGTCCACATACAGTATGTGGTGGGGCTCAGCTGATTCTCAGTGGATGTTTACCAGATAGTGAAAATGGAGTTTGTAGGTCGTGTTGTTTAGATTCCTTGTAAACAGCATGTATGTCTTGTGTGGTGCTGAATCTATCTAGTGGACTGTTGGGAGGGGCCTGGGGAGCCAATCATCTACCACGGCTGGACCAGAACAACCAAGATCAAGTTTGAGGATGTGGTCAAAGCTATTAACGATCATGCTTTTGTCACTTCAGAGTAAGAATCACAAAAACTCATGTCTGTGTCTGGTTCGCACACAAGGTTATAATGGGCCTGACTTTGTAAAAAATGTGTTTATGATTGTTGCCCACAATAATTACACAGCTTCACTGTGGAGTCCTTTTGGTTTTAATCGTATTTATCTTTGTCCTTGTTATGAAATGAATTTATTCCCATGCACTTCGATGCCGTGCTTCAGGTTCCCAGTGATCCTGTCCATAGAGGAGCATTGCCCTTTAGAGCAGCAGCGTCAGATGGCACGTATTTTCAAAGAGGTGTTTGGAAACAAACTGCTGACGGAACCTGTGGAGCAGATGGCTGAGCAGCTACCTTCACCTGCACAGCTGAAGGGCAAGATCATACTCAAGGTACTGTGTGTGTGTGTGTGTGTGTGTGTGTGTGTATGTGTTTGTGTGTGTTATCATTAGTAATGACCGTGCCTGTGCTGTCCTTGTTGTCCTTGTGCAGCACAAGAAGCTCACTATGGAGGAAGGAGGAATCACTAAAGACTTGAGGAAGGGGCAGAAACAAGGAGACCTGGAGATCTGGGACCCTATGGACCAGGTAAGGTCCATCAGTAAGGTCAAATAGGTATGATAGGTTTTAACACCAGGAACCCACGTTAACCTGTATTTCCTAGCTTGAGCAGTGTTGGAAATCAACTAACTTGACTGATGACTGACATGAGGTGAAACTGAAATCCAACAGAGAAATTTGCTTACTGCAACCAGCAAAAAGTGATTACGCAACTGTTCCTTTTTTTGTTGTAACATTGCAAGAGCAACACAGGAGATGCCTTGTTCTGTTAGGAAATACTGTAGCTTCAGCTAGCACAACAACACTCCTTGGATTAACTGTCCGTGTCCTACTCCTAATATAAATGACCATCTACAGCACCTTTATACTGGAAGCTGAAACATCAGCTAACTTGATTGGAGTATTTAAGTAAAAATGAGATGATGCTATGAAATCCAGTGGAGAAATGTGCTTGTTGCAGCAGCACAAATGATTTACAACAAGGTAAAATACATTTGATATAATCACACAACTAGAACAGAATAGGAAGCTGTAGAAACTGTAGTATATTATAAATATAAAAGTCCAGTTATAATTAATTGTTGGAGGTAGTATATATGTTTGCTGTTGCCAAAGCACAAGAAAAGGTCAGTCTGAGCAAACAAAAAGGCCTGACATTTTATAGTTTTTGAGATAATTACAGTGTGTGCACAATTACCATGCAGCTACAATTGCTATTGATTCCATGGTCGGTACAATGAACTACTGTATTTGTGAGAAGTCCTGTTTTAAACCCACCATAGATATGTGTTTGTTTTTATTTCTGATAAAGTGATAAATATTGATTTGTTATACCATTCCTAATTTAATGACCTAATTTTTCCACTCAGCTGATTGGTCAGAAGGTGAGCTGAACAGTTTTGATCAGTTAACCTGATTTAAAGCCAAAGTTAGCTGGATAATTCACTAATCTTGCTTCCTGATACAGCCCACTTATGTCTATTTTAAATACAGCATGTGACGGTTTGCACACTAGTGAAACTGTAGAAATTATACACACTTGTTTACAAACACACCGATGCTCAACTTTAGTCTGTGTGTTGCTACACTGATTTTTAAATGCATTAGAAAAAAGTATGCATGGTCTAGTGAAATAAAAATGTCTTTGTGTACAGCACACATACAATAATTAAGGGATTTTCCCCTGCCTGTGCCTGATTTGTATTTTGTTACCTCTTTGTAAAAAGCTTTTGTGTAGGAGAGGAGGTGAGTGTGAAAGTCATACTGTGCAGTGCAGGGGCCTGTTGCACAAAACTAGGATAAGGGATTAAGCCGGGATATCTTGGTGATCCTGGCTCAATTTATCCATGATCCGGTTGCACTAAAGCTGGATTAGATGGCGGTAGGATGTTATGGTATAAATTACCATGGAGATTTATTCTGTGGAGCTAGCCTGCTCCAGACCAGGCTAAGTTCCAGGATTTATTTAATCTCATCCCTTATGTCAGTCAGCAGTCACCACAAACGGAAACCAATA